TAAGTGTGTGTTGTTTGAGAGTGTATAGTGTAAATGGGTGTAGTGAGAAGGTGTATGGTGTAAGTGTGTGTAGTGAGAGGGTGTATAGTGTAAGTTTGTGTAATGAGAGGGTGTATAGAGTAAGTGTGTGTAGTTTGAGAGTGTACAGTGTAAGTGTGTGTAGTTTGAGAGTGTATGTAGTGTAAGTGTGTGTAGTTTGAGAGTGTATAGTGTAAGTGTGTGTAGTGAGAGGGTGTATAGTGTAAGTTTGTGTAATGAGAGGGTGTATAGAGTAAGTGTGTGTAGTTTGAGAGTGTACAGTGTAAGTGTGTGTAGTTTGAGAGTGTATGTAGTGTAAGTGTGTGTAGTTTGAGAGTGTATAGTGTAAGTGTGTGTAGTTTGAGAGTGTATGTATAGTGTAAGTGTGTGTAGTTTGAGAGTGTATGTATAGTGTAAGTGTGTGTAGTTTGAGAGTGTATAGTGTACGTGTGTGTAGTTTGAGAGTGTATAGTGTACGTGTGTGTAGTTTGAGAGTGTATAGTGTAAGTGTGTGTAGTTTGAGAGTGTATGTATAGTGTACGTGTGTGTAGTTTGAGAGTGTATAGTGTACGTGTGTGTAGTTTGAGAGTGTATAGTGTACGTGTGTGTAGTTTGAGAGTGTATGTTTAGTGTAAGTGGGTGTAGTTTGAGAGTGTATAGTGTACGTGTGTGTAGTTTGAGAGTGTATGTTTAGTGTAAGTGGGTGTAGTTTGAGAGTGTATAGTGTACGTGTGTGTAGTTTGAGAGTGTATGTATAGTCAATGATAGTACATAACAAGATGGGCCACTCAGCCAAAAAAGTGTCCACAGGAAGTATGCTCTTTGCTTCAGATGGCGCTGCAGTCTGTTTTGAAGCTCTCTTTCGTTTTTCCAGAAGAAGAATAGGAATAGCACCTCCTTGCGTGCGCAGATCGACTGCTGTTCATCAGCAGTTCGGGTACGTTCAGTGCGTAGTTTTAGGTTTAAAATTTTTTTAAATGACCTCTCGCCTTTCATTCTAAAGTCAAATTAAACGAAGAAAACCATCACCCTTTCCTCCGGAAGAGGTTTTTTGTCAGCGTAACCATTTTAAAAAAGCGTTCTTCCGAAATTCATTCAAAAACTTGCTAGTTTCACTTTGATTTTTTAAAACTCAAGTAGGATAACTCTGTTCGCAAAAGGTGCGCTTTTGCAAAGAGGGCGCCACCGAATTTTGAGGACACTTTTTTAATTGGCTCAAAGAGAGAAGTGGCCCATCTTGTTATGTACTATCATTGGTATAGTGTAAGTGGGTGTAGTTTGAGAGTGTAGAGTGTACGTGTGTGTAGTCTGAGAGTGTATGTAGTGTAAGTGTGTATAGTATGAGAGTGTTGCACATTGGTACCCCGTATTATATGCTCGCCGGTCGATGCACTTCACTGCACCTCAAAGCTAGACCAACCACTTTTAATCTCCTTGGCCAACAGAAAACATTGCTGCAGTTTGAGGGAACTTTTTACCCATTGAGGACGCACATCCTGGTTAATGGACAACGCTTGGAGAAGCACTCTTTTTTATTTACTGAAAGTATGGCTCATAGGCATAGACCGCTATATTGTTATCATAATCATGTTTGCTTGTGTACGTATGTGTGTGTGTGTGTGTGTGTGTGTGTGTGTGTGTGTGTGTGTGTATGTGTGTGTGTGTGTGTGTGTGTGTGTGTGTGTGAGAGAGAGAGAGAGAGAGAGAGAGAGAGAGAGAGAAAGAGAGAGAGAGAGTAAGAGAGAGAGTGCAAGTATATATATATATATATATATATATATATATATATATATATATATATATATATATATATATATATATGTATATATAAAATATATATATGTTACAGTAAGAATACGTATCTAGTGAATACGCGTAATCACTGAATATTTTAGTGAAAACACGTAATCCCCGTTTCACTCAGCGGTTTCACGTATAGGCACTTCAGTGAACGCGCTCACTATGGCGTCATTTGGCTTCGGAAAGTCCCATAGGGTTTTGTTTCCGGACATGACGTCTCATCGCGACAGTGGGTTCAAACTGCCCATATTTTTGTTTAATTTAGGGGACCAACATTCAAGTCCGATACATGTCTTTAAAGACCTGTGGATGGCCTTCAAAACGCTTCTTTCCAGGTCATGTGCGACTAATGAGTCTCGAAATATTTGAAGTTGAAAAATAGACAATTTTTAACCATTGATTTTTTATAAATTTTCTCGTCATATTTTTTTCAAACTACCTTTGTTGGTAAACCATTCTTTGTTCTTCCAGAAAACGTTTAAATGGTTATCGTAGAAGTCTTACCTTGGCTAGTGTAGTTTTACCCTTTTATCAACCAAATCCGCGAAAACCTAGCTGAACCCTTCCACCGCGACATCGCGCAGAGTCGTGACGTCACACATTTTCGCCTTCAGCTTTTGGCTCCCTCTCTTCATTGTTTGAAATGTACGAGACAGGGAAATACATCGCCAAGAGATTTTTAAACTTTTGTTCAAAAAGTTAATCAATTTTGGTAATGTTTTATAATCACTGACCTCACATTGTGCCTTAGTTCATTCGATAGTATAAGAAAACGAGACTTTTTAGACCCAAGTATTTCCTTTTCACTGAGCCCCCGCCCTCCCTCCTTTTTTCCACTGCCCAAAGCCTTTCATTGCGTAGGCCTAGGGCCTAGATCTAGTATGAAGAGTCCCGACTAGTGTTGTTAACACAGTCAAAAATTAAATAGGAACGCCTATTAAAGTATCTGATGCAATTATTTGTTTGATAAAGTTTCTTAGGTCTATTGTTAGTACCGATCCAGATTTTCTTTCTTTTCTGTCGTATGAACAAGAACGAAAAATGCTATGTACTGGATTGTGGGATCCACTACATGCCCCCCCCCCCCCCCCCCGTAAAAAAGGGCCCCATCCGATCCCCACCCGGTTTTGCAGGGACAAAGGGTCGTTAACAATGTGTAAAAGTAAGAGAGAGAGAGAGAGAGAGAGAGAGAGAGAGAGAGAGAGAGAGAGAGAGAGAGAGAGAGAGAGAGAGAGTAACGCAGTGATGGAGCAATCACACGCAAGCCACGCCACTGCAAGCACACGCAGCGTGTGAAGCGAGAGAGGGCTGCGGTGTGCTGCAGACCTCGATCTAGCCCGAAACCTAGCAACACACACGCGTAATGTGTCACCAACGATGTCAAGCGCAAGAGAAAATGCCTTTCTTC